CATATTTTCATGAGTGAGAACAAGGACCTAGTACCATGATCGATTTTGGCAACAAAAAAAAAATACTGTCATGATCGACATTTTATAGTTTTTACGATTTTACCATTAAAAATGAAGAAAAAATTAAACAGATTTTACCGTGTTTAATAATAAAATCTCAAAACAGTGTAAAACTAATGTTATTGATTAAGTTGCAGGTACAAGAACGATTACGTGAAAATTTAGAATCTTAAACGAGGAGTGAGAATGTGATGCAAGAGATCTTGGTTACGATATCGAATTCACTTCTTTAAATTCATTATTATGCACCATTTGTATATCATTAGTCTTGAGTGGAGATGTTAGAGTACGGAATAAATGTGTGGATGGATCTTGCACATTTTTTATTGAGTTTTAATATCCGGAAAAGTTTCTTAATCGATTTTAAACACTTGTTAATATTTCCTTTTTGATTTTATAGCCATAATATCGAATCGGACATTTGTCCCAAAAAAAAAAAAAAACGGACCAATTTAACATATTTGTTTTTTTTTTTGTTTTGTTGTTTTATCATATATAATTGGACACACGTACACTAACTCAATCATACATGCACATTCTCGAATTTGAATCAAATATATTAATAATACGATGGTGAAACAACTATAAAGTATTTGATTAACAACCCATCGTCAACATATAAGCAAATTAGTCCACAAAAACATGTAACTGGACATGAAATCTAAATATTTTTACTAGTAAAGATTTTATATGCATGATCAGCTGAGACTATGATGTTAGTGGTACGCAATGGAACCTGCAATGATGATCGGAGATCACTTCGATGTTTGAAAAAAAAACCGGTGATAACAAAGATGCAAATATATACCTTTCAAATAATATTTTCTTAAAAAAGAATTCATGTCAAATAATTAATAATATGGTGGTATCTTCCAACACCGAGATAGTTTTTTTTTTATGTTATGAAAGTTCATGAAATCTGTCTTAAGAATATTATAGTAACGAATTTTAAATAAATAAAATATTAGTAACGAAAAGAAAAAGGGTTCGAAGAAAAGAAAATATCGTTAGTTTTGCAAAAACAGTTTGCAATGGATTTTAGAGATTATTCCAATAATATGTTTTGTGCAGATTTTTCATATATATATATATATATATATATTTTTTTTTTTTTTCATTCTTAATTGTTATGGATTTGTGATCAATTAGCCAAATGCCTATTTTTCTTTTAAAAAAAGTGTCATTACTTTATCAATTGTCACTAACGGGAAAACCGGTTTATCCGTCCGTTCTTCAGGAAATCGGGATTGACTTCTAGTAGTTATTCATCTGTTGCTTTCGGCTGCTTGGAGCTTGGTGGACTTCTAATTTCTCAGTATTTTCTTTAGTCTTTAGGTCTCAATCATAGATTAATTGAGTTTTCCACCCAATAAACGACAATACTTTATTTCAAAGAATAATTTAATTATCGATTCCATAAAATAGATTTCTACAGTTAAAAATCAAAATCAAAAATTTAAATAGTTGACGTATGTGGAAAAATATTTGATCAATGGTTGACCAAAATGTTAATTGATGCTTATGTATTAGGTTTGAGATGGTAGTTCATAATTTTGGTTACAGCTTAAAAGGATGATATTTAGTTGAAAAAGTAAAGAATGGACAGAAGGTGAACCTAATGATACATTGTTATACAAAATATGTGAAAATGTTTTTCATGGACCAATACGATTAATAAAATGCAGTATATCAAACAACATTTGATATCAACGTACCATTTCATAGCATGTTCATCTGGTTAATCCTAACATGATTTCGTATTTTTTTTTTCTATAAAAAATATCATGAAAAACTGTGAATATGTATACCTTTGGCCCCTTGATCAAAATTGGGAAGACATGTATGATATATATGAAGGCATGAAAATGTTTTTATGTTCGAAGTCGTGCCTAGATGTTTATCTTAGACAAGATTTGACTTTTTGGTTAAATGACTTATGTTTTAACTTATAACTTCTTCACGTATTTACATTGAATTTGCATTTGTTTTAAATTCTATGCATTTTAAGTAGTTTGTACAACTCTTCTCTGCACATTTCCTCTATTTAATTATGTATATGGATTGCTTTTTAGCGTGTAAGTTTAGAAACAATCTGAATAATAGCAAATCTTTTTTTGTGTACTTCGTTAAATGTATGTATATAAGTATCTCTCCTTTAAAAAAAAAATATTTTTGGTATTCAGAGTATATTTGGAGGTAGTTTTATGCAAAAATAATGCTAGTTCAACCAATTTATTTACCTCTTTTTAACTTTATACAAATTGATGATTCTATATGTTTCTAATATTCTGTTTAATATGGTTTTGTATTCAGACATAATCAATTCAATCCACATCACATATTAACTAGATTCAACTGCTTTTGGTGTAGTTTTAATATTTGCATTCTGTTCAGAAGTTCTTACATGCATAAGATAACTCATTTTTCATATAAAAAATATTGTTACAAAACGTCAAAAAATTATCTATAGGGAATGTATAACAGATTTTGTTCTCTTATACTATATATCTAAAACAAGAATGGCTAGAATTAGTCTCTTGATACAATCTCATCAACTCATTAAGCATGTGTTTGGAGTCGTTGAACTTATAAATTTTTGAAATGTCAAGTTTTTCATTTTTAATAAATTGTAATGCATTACCAAATTTTGTTATTGTTTCTAACATTTTAAATCTCAAAGACAACTTTGATAATAGTACGTTGAGATATTAAATAAAGTTATTTTTTGAAAAATAATTTTGTGAATGTCTGAAAAGATTTTTTTTGCTAGTAATTTGTTATTATTATTATAAAGTCTATTAACAAAACTAAAAGAAGAGACCGTCACCTAACCGCGAAGTTCAAGACTGAAAGCCACACACTGAGTCAGCACATACGTTAAACAGCATATCCAAGAAGACTTGCAGTGTGATGGTTTATAGCTTATATATTCACCGTATTTGATGTAATACTAGCACTTTTTTACATGAATTTGTGACTTTTCTACTCCAAAAAATCTAAGAACAATTTTGATCCTCCAAAACTCAAGTAAAAATGCCAAAAACTATTCATAAATACTAAAAAGTTTAAAAAACTGTTATGATAATAACAATAGTTATGTTCTAAAACATGGCCGCTAGGCTAGGCCATGGAGTCTGGAGACACCAACTATTCGTGGATGAAAAAATCTTGTCGGAACTATACTCAATTGTACTAAAAATACAGAAAATATTAATGTCTCTATTTTTTTAACTGCTTGAAATAGAAGTGTAGACGTCAGATTTACCATTTTTATATTAGACATAGTTGAAAATGAAATGCATTTGGTATAAAACTAAAAATCAAGTAAAAAAAGATCGGCGGCTATAAATTAAAGTTTTAGAATTTCAGATCGCATGAAGAAGATGACTAGCAAATTTATTAATATACTTTTCATTAATAAATTTGAGGAAAAACCATAAAATGTAAGCCTCGATCGTAAGATATCAACAGTGCTTTAAAATACTCAAGAAATAAAATGTTTAAACCATCAAATGTAATTCGTTTTAGATTAAATATAATATTTAAAGATTCTAAAAACTATTTCTAATTATTATTGTATAAAATATGTTTTTTTTAGGCGCTAATCCATATAATTTTCGATTAGCACCTACTAAATTTTTGTAAAATAATTAATGCAGTAGTATTTTTGAAAAATTGTATTACAAAGAGTTCTTAAACCAAACAAAAAAACAAAAAAACAGTTTGTTCTTTGATAAAAAAAAAATTTGTTAGCGCGTGAAAAACACGTAGAGAAAGTAGTGGTGGAATAGCGCGTGAGGGAACAAAGAGTACAGAAAAAAGCCTAGAGACGTACCACACCGAATTATAAATGGCGGCAAATCCTAGGTTGCTCGCCACGTTACTTCTAGCTGTAAAATGGTAAGATTTTTAACAACCATATAATATGTATCTTTTTTTTACAGATATTATTCCTCTAATTGATTTAAGTAAATAGAAACAATTACATAACTTCCTCAATAAACATTTATATTACCTAAAATAATATCATTTGCTTTCAGATTTAGGAAGAATCATAATGATTATGATACAACGTATTCAAATTTGAAAAATAGCATTTATGAAAACAAAGATTTAACAGTTGTAGACTCATTTAAAGTAAAAAAACATGAGTACGTGACAAGTTGAAAATAGAAAGAGTTTAGAAGGACGAAATTACCCCCGACAATCATCATTAATTACTTATACATGTCGGTCAAAGCCAGTGAAGTGAGAACAACTAGTAGTAAAAAAAAGATTTAAATAAAAAATTTGTTGAGAAGTAGTAATTTGTTATTATTATAAAAAAATCTACTGATAAAAAGTAAATTAAAAAAAAAAAAAAACCGGGACCGGGTATCTTGGGGTCACGTGACATGAATCGCAAAGTTCAAGATTGAAAGCCACGCGCTGACTCAGCACATACGATAGGCAACAAGAAAGGGCCAAATATCTAATATTGACACGTGTCACCATGCGACTTGCTCTCATGAATGCGGCGTCCCGTATTTTTAAACACCGCTCGTATTCCGAAAGTAGCCCTGGTTTAAAATGAATAATATCGAAAATGCCACTGGTGGAGGAGCGGAAACCGGAAAAGAACAGAAAATTAAAATTAAAATATTAAAAAAATAATTACGGCTAAGACTCTCACAAACAAATCCTATAAATGAAGGTTACAAGAGTGAGCTTGAGAAAGTCTTCACATACTCTGCAAATCCTTTAGAAATCACTGTCTCTCCCCCATCAAAGAGAAAGCAATAGAAAATCTTTTCTCACTTTTCTTTTATCACTTTTACTAAATTCTCGTGATAATCTCTCACAAGTTTTTTTTTTTTTTGTGATTCTCTCGAAATCTCTTTCTCAACAACCCAGAACTTTCCTTGAATCGCAAGTTCTTCTTCCTTTATATTCTCTTTTTTCATTTGATGCGAATATAGAGAGATTACATTACAAAAATCAATTTTTTTTTTCTTTTTTTGATGGACGAATACATGGATTTTCGACCACTCAAGTACACAGAGCACAAAACATCAGTCACTAAATACACCAAACCGTCACCGGCAAAAAATCTCTCCGGCGAAACTCGACCTGACTCAGTGAGAACCGTTCGTGTCTGTGTAACCGATCCCGACGCAACCGATTCATCAAGTGACGAAGAAGAAGACTTTCTCTTTCCTCGCCGACGAGTCAGGAGATTCATCAACGAAATCAGAGTCGAGCCAGCCTGCAACAACAACATCAATATCACGGGGGGAGTTTCAATGAAGGAAAGGAAGAGACTTTCCGATGAAACTCAATCTCCGGCGACGTACCGGCACCGTCCACTCAAGGTCTCAGTTCCCTACGGCCAAAACGGGAGGAAGTTCCGCGGCGTTAGACAACGGCCGTGGGGAAAATGGGCGGCGGAGATTCGAGATCCGGAGCAACGCCGGAGGATTTGGCTCGGAACTTTTGAAACGGCGGAGGAAGCCGCCGTTGTTTACGATAACGCCGCCATTAGACTCCGTGGACCGGACGCTTTAACCAATTTCTCTATACCGCCTCAATCTCAAGAAGAAGAAGAAGAAGAACCGGTTATTGATAAACCGGAAAGCAACATTACAACAACGACAACAACAACGTCGAGTTCCGAGTCAACCGAAGATTTTCACCATCTCTCGTCTCCTACATCGGTTCTCAATCTCCGATCATCCGAAGAAATGCAACAAATACAACAACCGTTTAAATCAGCTAAACCGGAACGGGAAATTTCAGATGCACCGTGGTGGCATACCGGGTTTGGTACCGGTTCCGGCGAATCCGACGATTCGTTTCCGTTGGATACTCCGTTTCTCGACAACTATTTCAACGAATCTCCACCGGAGATTTCATTATTCGATCAACCAATGGCTCAGGTGTTTTCTGAAAATGATGATATTATCTTCAATGATATGTTCTTGGATGGTCAAAGTATGTTCTTGGATGGTCAAAGTATGAGCATTGGAGATGAGTTTTGTTCTTCAAGTATCAAAGATATTGGCTCAATGTTCAGTGATTTTGATGATTCATTGGTATCGGATCTATTAGTCGTTTAATATCCATGACCGAGAAGAGTAACCATCAGCAAAATATCTATGGTTCGACTGAAAAATTTTGATGTTTTTTTCCCTAATTTATTTAATGAGCTTTTTTAATTTTTAATAATATAGTGTTGTCAGGAGCTTGTAAAACAGTTTTGGAGAAATAGTGGAAAAATAGTTAATGAGTTTTGTTCTTATTCTTGAACTAATGTGTTATTAGTTGCACGAACGTGTTTAATATTTTAAACCCTATTATTTATAGCATCTGCATTTATTTAGTTTGTTAATTATTTAATTTAGAAAAGCCAAAGTGGCATTCTCTTTGTGAATGTCATACTATGAGGCGCAAATTACGGTCGTGGCCAGTGAACTGAGGGAGTTTTTGGGTTTGGTCTGATTTATGTGTTCGTTTAAGTAGAAGAGATGTTGTATTTTTACTCTCTTTTATTTTTATTTAATGTTGGTAAGTATATTATTATTTATAGAAAGTGTATATAGGATTTCATAAATTCTCTTTTTGATAAGTTGGGGAAGATACGAAAAAAAATATTACCCTCAAAAGTATCGATTAAATCAAATATATTATATATTTAAAGATTTTTCCTTTTATGGTTATCAAACAAAAGAAGAAATTTTTTTTTATGTAAAATATTTGCCTCATAAGAAATTCATATACAACCCAGCTAACATATATTTATAATTTTTTTCATTGAAATTTAATTTCGATGCAGTAAATTTTTTATTTAACTGTTGTTCTAGAAAATACAATATTATACATATATATATATTTTTTTTAAAAAAAAACAACTATCAAAATCCTCCTATAATCCACCATCATTAATTACAAACTTATGTTTTTTGTACTAAATAAATATTATGAAAATGTTCATAATATTTTAATAACACTTTTCAAAATAATTCAAGAATTCTTTCTAAAGTTGTAGACTTATTCTAAACATAATTTTCTGAAAATGTAAGAAAATGTATATGCTTGCTTATTAAAAGAAATTTAAAAATATATTTCATTCTAACTAGTAAACATAAACCAAAGCAACTAAACCGTTAAACCGAGTCTAATATGAAGAGAGCATAACCGGGATATACCTCTCATACAATGTTTGAGATCCTAACATGTTAAAGAGAATAATCAAAGATCTCAATCAAGTGTATAATCAACAATCTCTTTTCCTCTTTCAAATCTCATTTACTTTTTGTATATTCATTTACTCTTTCTAGGAAAGTATTATCTCGTAAATTTCCTTTTCTTCTAAAGATATCGTGTATGTAGACATTGCAAATCAATAAAAAATCATCACGAATCCCCTTAGCCGCTTTGCGTTTGTTCATCACAACTCAAATAGGACTAACATACATGCAATAAATAGAAACATAGTGCCAACGTTAAGAAATGTCAAGCACTGGCCATAAAAACAATGTTGCTCTCTTGGAATGCCAAATCGGAGAAATGATTTAGAGAGAATTTCTCTCCCGAATCTGTATTAAAAGTTTTCATGTGATATGGTGAAGTTATTTCAGTCTATATGCTAGTTCATATTAATGAAATATGTTATTGCAATGCTGAAGAGTCATCGGTGTAAAAACTGGCCGATGTCTATTTTTTTTTCTTTTTTAAAAATCTTTTATCGCTTCCATGCCTATATAATTTACAATCTGACTTATGTGGAGTTTTTCAAGATGGTATACTAAAATCAAATCAATATTCTTTGATCAATCCTCATTTTAAATACGACATCATACAATTCTTAATGAGATTATAAGTTAATGTTGCATTTTTCCCAACAAAATAACTGTAAACCATTGAGCATCGTAAATAAATCAAATTCGGAACTCAATTCAATAACAAATTACTACTGTATTTCATGTTTTCTTAAAAGAAAAAATGGTTGTTGCTACCCTTATATATAGCTATACATGCCAAATATCGAAAACATAGTTTTATCCACACCAACAAATCAACAATGGTGACATGCTCGGGAAAAAAAGTTGCAAACTACATTTTAGTCATCTTTCATATAATATGTTAATTATAAAGTCGAAAATCGAATTTGCATATATATAAACTTGATCCGAACTATAAAATCGACCCGATAAGTAAATCCGACCGGATGCACACACAATTTAACTAAAGTTGGACCAATTACTAAATCGATCCAAATCGTTAAAAAAATCTATCAAAAAACTAACAAGTAAGCTTGCAAGAAATCTAACAATTGATCCGGGAATTCGGTTTCTTCGTCTTTCGACGATTACCAGATAATCACGAGGCGGATCATAACCGTAAATTCTTTCGTTCAACTATTAGACCTCTAAATTAAGTAAATAATCACGCTTTATCAACCATCTTCTAACTTTCTTTTGGCTCAACCATCTTCTAACTTTCTTTTGATCTGAACTATCTTTGAACTTATAACAGCAACGAAGGTTCGGAAGTCGTTTTTTCTACTTTCGTGTTGGCTTGTTGGCTTCTTGCCGGTTGGTATATTTCTTAAAGACACAATAACGAGTGAAAAGTATAAGAGATTTTATTTGAAAATTCGGTCAATGTCGGAGAAAAGTAGGTGGTGACATGCACATAACATATTTCAAAAAAGTATATATATATATATATATATACGTGGATAAAAGTTAAGCTCACACATAGACATTAAATTTTAGATTTTAGATCACATTTAATACGATCTGTAATTTGTATATTTTTCTTCTCCGCCTAATATACGTATTTTCATTAAACATTAAAAATTGCAATACTAATATACTTATTATTATTTATTTTTTGGCTTTCGCTTTTGTAACGTGAAAGGACGTTGTCCCAAGAGGGTTTCAATAAGGTTACCACTTGGTCTGCTATGGCCGAGACAGAAACATCATACGTACGCCTTACTAGTCTTCATTAGGAATTATCATATTGTTCTTTATTCAGTTACATAAACACAGAAAGTAGTACTTATATTTTAGCAGCGTTTATTTTATTCAATAACATAATATAACATTGCTTTTATTATTTTATTTTATACCCATTTTACACAATATCTTGAAGTTAACCGCTCCACCCGTAAGCCTTTTAATTCGAATGATCACACCATCATTACCAAAATGAAATGGAAAAGCCATTCAGGACAGTGGCAACCGAAATTTGTTTCTAGAGATACATGGGATCACATCAGAATAGTTAGACCAAAGGTGAATTGGTATAGAGGTGTGTGGTTCTCCCAGGCCACTCCAAAATACTCATTCATGGTATGGTTAGCTGCACAAAACCGGTTGGCGACAGGTGACAGGATTCAACGCTGGAATACGAATGCTGATACAGCTTGCGTCTTCTGCAAGGATCCTATGGAGACAAGAGATCACCTGTTTTTCTCTTGTTCTTTCTCGAAGGCAATCTGGGAGCACTTGGTCAAGGGACTTTTACGACAACAGTTCGAGTGGGACTGGGAACGATGTTTGACACTGATCACTCAAGCTCCTAAATCCACTACAACGTTCCTACTCAGATACACTTTCCAGGCTACCATATACTCAATCTGGCGGGAGCGAAACAATCGGAAACATAGAGAGAAGACTTCGACGGTTTTCAGGATGGTGAGGATGATTGACAAATTGGTTAAAAATCAGATTTGCTCAATCCGTAACAATGGTGTGAGGAAGTACGAGGATGGCTTAGAGATCTGGTTTGCCTCAAGATAAGAGCAAAGTAGTTTTTCCCTTTGAAATGTAATAGCAAAGCTAAGCAAAGTTTGTAAAACGTTATTTTTTCTTTTGAGTATAATTTAACATTAGATTCAAAAAAAAAATCATTACCAAAATGAAACATATATGTATACATAATAAATATACATAAGTAACATAATCTATCAAAATAGTTGTAGTCTAATTACTCTATTTTTCTTCTGGTATAGATGGTCAAAAATGATGATTTCTAATAGATATATAACACATGATAAACATGGTGATCATAGTCTTTCGGCCTTAAAATCAAGTGTTTTTTTTTTTTTTTGATATATGCCTTAAAATCAAGTTAACAAGGAAAGTGAACTACTTCAATTAATTTTCTTATATGTCTTACATATATTGTCAAAATGAAAAAGCTAACATCTTGACCGATCGATTCCGAATGTGAATTCTGTAATCACTACAAAAAAAACATCATAATACATCATTTATTTTATTTATTTGTATTATTTATAACTGATGTAAAAGAATTTTACATCATTTAAAAAAATGATTCTGAAAGTGGTGATGCAAATACTTTATATCAGTTCATTAATAACTGATGTAAATATTTTAAATATTTACATCAATTAGAATAATTGATATTAATATATGTCAATTGTTTTAAGTGATATTAAATTTTACATCAGTTATTATAAATGATATTAATATTTGTATCAATTATAAATAATTGATGTTAAAAAAACTATTTTGGTATAAATTTTAATTTATTTTTAAAATTTATATAAAATCCCTTTTGTTTTTTTATTAATATAAATATATTTTGTGAACTCTTATACAATAATTAACTAGAATTATTATTAAAAATATTTTTTTTATGTCGAAGATTTTGGTTGAAGTTAATAAAATCATACGATTATTAACAATGATGAGTTTATTTTATAGAGGAACAATTCTCTCCTTTCAAGTTCTCCTAACCGATGTGGGACAGATAAGTTTTGATCAAATTAAATTAAATATATTAATTGTTTAATTCAGTTCTTTGTTGACATCACTTTTTAATTGCTACAAAATTTGCATTATTTTATTCAAGTGATGCTAATATATACATCAATTATCTAATGATGTAAAATTTGGTTTTGTATCAATATTGTTCAAGTGATGTGATTTAAAATAAATTAGTATCAGTTTATGCAATCGATGCCATATAAACTAATAATAACATCATTTGTATTAACTGATGTTAATACTGTATAATTTATGTCACTTGTAAATAAATGACTTTAATTAGTATCAATTATTTTTCTGATATAATTTATTTGATGCTATCAACACTTTTTTTTGTAGTGTCAGTTCTTAATCCATGTACTATTTTGATTTTCTTCGAAAATTTAGACGACTTTTGTTATAATTTTAGATTTTACTTAATTAACATCTACGTAATTTGGATTAAATATTCTAAACTGTCCTTTGATAAATTTAATTTCACTACCAGTATTCATATTTACTAAAAGAAAACATGAAGTTATACCATGTAACAGTCATGATTATTTCCGTTTGATCTTGTATTAAAACCCAACGGATTAAAACTAACATATCCACAAACGAGTGATTATGGCTGTGCTTGTGTGCTTGGTAAGGATAACTTAAATTAGAAGAATTTTGTTATAATTTCATATTTACTTAATTACCATCTAGCTACGTGATTTGGATTCAATATTCTAATTGGACTGACAAAAAAACTGTCCTTTAATAAATTTAATTTTGCTATCAGTATTCATATTTACCAAAGGACAACATGTTTTGAAGCTATGCCATATTGCCATGTAACAATCATGATTAATTCCATTGATCTTGAATTAAAACTAACATATCCATAAACGAGTGATTATGGCTGTGCTTATGCTTGTAATTAATTCATAATATTAATATATAAAAAATCCATACATGCACACATAATATATTAATATATCTGTACAATGATGCATGCTTGATAAGGATATCTTAAACTAGAGATAATTCAAGTGTATTATATAACATGGAAGCTAAGGAGTAAGGATCATGATGTCTCTCTACTCACGTGAGTTCGTGTTCGTTACATTCATAATTTTTCCTTTTCAATATGTATATGCATATATAGTTCCCCTTTTTGGAGTATCGAAAAAGTCACCATATATATGCAAGTTGGTTTCCCTTTAATGAACTGTATCTTAACAAATTCCTACACTTTGAGGTAACTTTCTTCTTTATTTTTTCACCTTTAGAATTACTTTGAGGCATTTTTAAGCTTTAAATTTTAGCCCTTTCTATGTAATTCTTATTGCTTACAATCGTTTGTATGACCGTACGTGGCATCCACAGTCATCAGAACTCAACCCGTTTAGGTGTGTGTAAGCAAGATAACACAATCTAATATTATCACACAAAAAATAATAATAACACAGTCTATATTCTGAAGATCCCAATTTCCAATCGAAACTGGTACTGGAAGATTTATATTGGATATTTCAAAAGAGTTTACTTGACCAGAAGATATAATATATTACTTGATCAAAGTATCACTACAAATCTGCAAATACAAAAAAAAAAAAAAAAAGAAACACACTAACGAAACTTGCTAATGAACAGAGATTTGCTAATGGACAGAGATTGGTCAAAGACTTTAAACCAATCTTATTTGTTGGCATGATGTGTAGCAGCACCTAGACCCCTACCTCATTGACCAACTTTGTAAGCTTTTGAAGCATTTCATATATAGCGGAACAAAGGAAGCAATTTTAACTTATAGTATATTTGTTAAAAAAAAACATAACTTATATATAGTAATATAGTCTAACCAATTGACAATTTCAGCCTAATGACAAAATATACGACATACTATATTATAGAGTAATAAGAAATTTAACGAATTTACAATCGCTTCATACTATATACTTCTATATTTGATAGTGGTAGTAACTTTATATTTGATCAAACAAAGCACATTTGAATTATAAAGCCTGATTCGGATTTGTTATTCAACTTGTTGGTCGAAGTCGAACAGTAGTCGTTTATGTCTTTAATTTTTTTGTCAAATTTGTTATCGTTTTTTTAAAACGAAATGGAATTCAAATCCTAATTAACAAATATAAACCTTTCATATATACATGAAAATCGATTTCTGCTGGCCTCTCTAGTTAATATAATATGTACACCAGCATATAAAAAATAACATTAATACGTCAAATTTCTATGTTACAAAAAAATCTTAATTATTTAAAATTTGAGGATAGGACACACTAGACATTGACAAACGTGAATGCCCCAACTGAGCTGGCCTCTTAGGTAGGCTCATATAACACTGCTAAAGAGGTACACAACTTTTGTCACACTATAGATTCATACAAAATCCAAAAACCATTAATTAAAATTATTTATTTTCGAATAACTATTTATATACGTAGTAAATATATGTTCTGGCCACATAGTTCCACCAGATATAGACAATAAACACATCGACCATCTAATTCTAACCTTTTTAATATAAGCACCGTACGTTCATGCATGATACATATATAATTATATAGTTTTACGGACAGTATACTATATGTACATATACGCATCTCTAGTTAATGTCATTTCGAAGAGCAAAGAAAGAGCACTTGTGTATAGGAAACTAAAAAACGATAATTGTCTTACCTGTCTAGTAATTTCCCCTTTCTTATCACCAACAAGTTCCAACAAATTTAAATCTTAACTTAACTCTGAACTCATAACAGATTAAATGGAACAAATTTTTCTTTGTATTAAAATTCTTCTTTATCTACATAGATAAAAAAATAATATATAAGCGTAGAACAGTGCATATATGAAATTAGCGTGACCTAGTCAATATTATCAACAGAAAAAAAAAAACTATACGATTTTAAAACATTAGCCAAAAAAATAACATTTTACGATTTTAATACACCTTTTGTTGTCTCAGCTTGGAGTTCACAGAGCCGTCTTGCTAGTTGCTATCTATTTCCAGCTAATTTGCCCTTTTTGGTGATTTACAAAAAAAAAAAAGAATAAGAAAATATTAAATCACGCGTCTTCATGTATGGTTTTTTTCTTGAACATTTGGTCAGGTATATTTTGCCAACTTTATACTTTTAGTTTATGATTTACGCGGAAAATCTAACAGAGACATTACTGTCGAGATTCTGACCGAAAAATTAGACATTCCATGCCCTCGGAGAGTGCTTTGTCGCGATCAAGGGCTCGATAGAAAGCTTGATCGATAACGACTATAAGGGAAAGCAAGGGAAAAGTAGACGCCAAATCATAATAAAAAAAAAAAAACTAGACCATATAAAGAGAGCCAACTTAAACAGAATTAAATCGAGATGAACTAAGTATAGAAGTTTTTCAATCATTGTAATAAAATATTTTTCAGTTCAGAATTATTTGATGTTTAAGTTTTTTGTACACAGGTTAAGAATTCATTTAATTTTTATTTTTTCTACATTAAAAACATTATTTATAATTCATTTAAATATAATTCAACCAATAAGAAAACAATATGCATAATATAAAAGGTCAAAACAAAAAAAATTCATTAAATTTTACATTAAAAAGTGAGAACATCAAATAATTTTGAATTAAAAAAAAAATTCTAAAACATCAAATAATTATGAAGAAAAGGAGTATAATAAAACCCTTAATTTCGGTTGAATGTAAAGAAGTTTAAATCTGAGATATACATATCTTAGTTAGAACATTAGTTAAATGTTATTTTGCTTCTGTCCTGATTGAGTTGAGCCGCAATTTAGTCTTCATGTGCATGGGAAATCACATAATTTGGTCTAACGAAAACACGTTGCAGCTTTCCACATGAATATTGCATGTCGATTTTTCTATTTTTCGACGGTCAAAAAAGAAAGAAAATAAAAATTCCAACGACGTAATAATAGGTTATAACGAACTAACAGGCTATAATGACTAAATAGGTTTGCATGTACAAACGCAAGGTGACTGTGTTTGTTTGTTTCTTTTGGCAGATATTGCAATAAAAAGGCAAAAAATCACAATAAGGCCTTCGTATTTTTTTTTCCTTTCCACAAGTGGGTAAATTTTAGCCGCAATTCATGGTATGATTTATTTTTGGTTTGAAACTGTTATGGTCCCCTATCTATTTCCTCCTTTTATCATAACTGCGTATCTTACATTTTTCTGTTATTAAAGATCTTCTGAAATTTGTACCTTTTTTGGTCGGTAATGGATGTATAACGTTGTAAATACTAAATAGTATACAATCTCAACAAAGTAAAAAGAAAAGAGATAGCCTTACTCTACAAATGATATACAATCTCAATAAGGTAAAATATGACATAACAGTCTAGAGGGGGAAAAAAAGACATAACAGTGTAACACACACTACACAGAGAACGTTGACTAATCAAATCAGCTACTGCGAATGTTAAAGCGAAACACGTGTCGTACTCTGAAGCCGTGTGATTTTGTTACCCTGAACGGCTGAACCAAATCACAGCTTCTGATTTAGTAAGTAGTCACACGATGTTTTTTAGTTTCAAATTTGATTTTTGGGGCCGACAAAATAAAATAATTTTTTTGGTTTTTTGGGGTTGTTGTCGAACACATAAGTGGGCCCATTTTATCAAGTAGAAACTGCGCCAGTTTTTCTCGTTCTTTTCTACAAACATTTCATTTTTAGTAATATTTACATTCTAAGCACACAACAAAGGTAACCATATTCCAACTAAACCAAAAATAACCAAAATGTTAAACCCACAACTGACTAGAAAATGTTGTCGAAAGTAGTGTGTTGGCGAGTTTGAACAATCAAATCTTCATCTGGTTCATGATTCTCGTTTCCGGTATGTGGAATATTGAAAACCGGATGAAGATGAGATCGATTGAACCACAAACTTCTTTTTGGCCCAGTTCATAAGAAAAAAACTACTCTCTCCGATCCGTCCAATCATATGGTCATGTGTTCGGAGTACAAGCATGAAGAATCGAAGTATTTTTAGAAAAACCTAACACCAATATCCCATAAACATAACACCAATATCACACCAAGGTGAATACAGAAGATGACACAGTATTAAATTAATATATCAATCACTAAAGCACTAAACTACTCAATTATTTTGTGATTTTTTAAACTCTTTTCGTCGTTAAGAAAAAGGATGTTGAGAGTACAAGGTCACGTGATGTGGTTATGGGCCCTGCAATTCGTAGTGCACAATCACATGATTCTAAAGTATAAATAGAAAAGCCCATCTGTTCAGAACAACGTGTCCAATTTCACCATCCACGTCAGTACTTAGGTTCGTTATTATGGCGAGACGTGTTTTTGATTTTTCTAAAATGGAAAAGAAAAAAAAAAACCTTTTATGGTTTTTGTTGGTGGAAGTATGGGTCGGATCATCCATAAAAGGCGTCTGAATGTCTGAATGTCTGAATGTCTGATTTTTTTTTTTAAAAAACGTCTCTCTGAATGTCTGAATGTCTGATTATTCGTAGATATTATCAGTTCTAAAGACACACATTTTAAAATAACTAAAAGCCTTATTATATGATCTCTACTTAGCATTTCTATGAATCTTATACACTCTAATAGTTACATTTCTGTTCTTGTTCAATCATTTTATCCTGCAGTTAAGAAACCGAATTTTATGCTTGAATCAATGTATGGTACATCAATTGGTTGAAAAATGAATTTTAAAAAAGAAATTATTTTTTCTACTACGATTTTATAGATGGTCAGTTGGTATATAGAGTATAAACGTATCAAATTACAAAAATACTTAGTGTTCACGGGCTTTTCAAGGTTAACATACACTTTGCTTATATGGATAACCCGATAATGTGTTACAACATCATATAATTGTAGAATATATGTGAAAAATTACTTCTAAGTTCTAATAGAATTATCATACAAATCTATGGTGCTCCACCACAATCGATTTGGCCATGTATCAAAATTATATTATATGTTGTTACATTTTTATTGTAGCTAGGGATGACACTACAGGACACACATCAGATTTCATACGTACGCGAACATGTAATTCATGTTCTCTGAGAGTTGGATCCAGAGAAGCTATCAATACTAGTCGGCCTGCTTCAAGATTTACACTGTTTATTTTGCTCGACAAGACAAGATTTACACTGTTATTCTTATGAAAGAATATATAGTGTGACCCATCTGTTAATAATTGTCTAGAAGTGGCAAAACACTTTCTACCCGCGCGTTACATCAGCTTTTGTCGTATCATTATGAAGCAACTTGGCTATTTCATAATTATTAGCTGGTCTAACCCCTCTCTTTTCAATCTATAACCAGCATTTGATAATGAATATCTAATTATATTATTTTCATAGTATCCCGTTTTATAAACTAACTACACACGAGCGATCATTGTCTTATCTTCTTGAACGAGTTAAAAACAGAAGGATTAAAAATGATAAAATACAACTATGATGATGTTGTAGGATTACAAGTATGACTTTGTTTATCATTACCATTTGTTGCCTTACTAAAAATAGTTTTCACTTGATATAAAAAAAGAAAGTTTTCAATTTTCAACCGTGAAACAGGGAGACAACGAATGTCACCAAACTCACAAGTGAATTCATATTTGTAAAGTGACAAATTGACAAATTGACGAAATGCGAATGTGATTTTCTAGTTTTTTCAATTACACAATCTTACAAAATCGTAAGTGATGTTTCTTTATATATTGTTATGCTATTTCAATAATAAAACTAAAAATGTTTTATCTTTCTATTTTTTTCAATTAAATGTGGAAATTAAAACATTTAGATTTATATTATCTTCTACTATGATTTATCGTATAATATTATGTAGTCTAAATGTGAAAGGTATTTTGTCTGCGGTCTCAACCATTGTAGACAAAAAAATATTGGGTTGACCTATTTACACAGAAAAACCGGAGTGACATTTCCCAAAATGCAAACCGGGACCTACAAATACTAAAACGATGTTTGCACGATCCGTTGGGTATAATTTATTTGTCTAATCACATTGAAAAACATATGTTTACAAAACGAAAAAGGAACAGCACACAAAGATAGAAAGAGAAAGAACAAATCATCTATAACATAAGAGTCTAATGTAAAAAAAAAAAAAGGGTCTCTCTAAAGAGAAAGCTATGTGAACCCAAAAAGAAAAAGGAAAAAGAAAAAGAGACAAAACAAATGTTAAAAGGTTTTTGCTATATTCACATTAATGTTTCCTTCATTCCACCAATTTGGACTCATTATAATTTTTCCCTTTTATCAGCTTCATTCATACCTTATCCCTCCTGCTTTTGTTCACATCACAAACTCAAATAAATATAACCAAAAACAAATCACTTAATTGTTTTTATGAATATACACGTTATACATCATGGATATTTTGGACCTTTGTGAAAATTCCCAAATAATTTCGAAAACACAGATCATATACAACCTCAAGAAAACGATATAATTTTTGTCCTATCAAAAACGAAACCGATATATGTTCATCCACTTTAATAACACCGTACGTAAGAGTGATGCGACATCAAAGCAAATGGGCCTATAATGGAACTAACTAGGGCTACATAGTTAAGGAAATTTAGACGGGCAAATAGTGGCCCAATACATTCGCCAGTCTTCCCTATGTCAACAAGAGAATTTGTCAAGAATACACGGAGCGATCCAAGAGAACCTTAAACAATCTCATTAACTTGTGATTACGAAAAAAAGCCTAACCACACTTGAAACCAACAAAACAAAACAAACAACCCTTTTAACCACAGTGAATTATAGTCAAAACGAGAAGGAAGAAAGGAACAACAATATTTGCATCTCAACGAAAGAAATATTAAACAAAAAAAAAACAAAACCCATTAGCTCAGCTCATAAAATTCCAACATTTCGCCTCCAAATTCTTATCTTTTTTGCTGATAACAACGAAACCCAGAAGATCATATGAGAGAGCAAACAACTATCTCTCCTCTTCTTTGTTTTCACTTTTTGTCCTTTATTCCTCTGCTGCAAGCAAATGTAACCTGAGTATCACGTGTTGGACAAGTTCAATCTCTGGTCTTAACCACGAGCCATCATCACGTCCAAATGGTCCAAACTTATTTCAGATGAAGCCATCTCTCTTCTGTATGTTTTCCTCTGCTGCTTTCTGTAAAACCTGTCTCCTTTCTTCTGTAGATGATGTTCACTAGTAGCCACTTGGTGAAGATGCAGCATTGCGACCATGCTAATGGCGAATATAGCAGCGTTCCCAAGCACGCCTCTCACATGGTTGAATCCAAGTGCTCTTTTGGCAAAACCCAAGGTCGAGGCAAAGGCGTTGATTACAAAGTTTGACTTGTTTCCATCAGAAGGACTAGAGTTTGCTCCGGTTGGGTTTGGAGAGTTGTAAACTTGATCAGGCGAAACGTAATGAGTTGCACTTTTAATGCTCCCAACAAATGCAAGAGCTTCCTCTAAGACTCCGTAGCTTTTCCCGTGGTGTTCAGCCAATCTCATTGCTAGCAATATCCTGCTTTGTTCAAGCCGAGCAACCGCTACATCTCTCTCTGTTCGTTGCTGCGTATGTATAGTCTGCAGAGCAAAGAGAAAGAAGTTTTACATAGTGTCTTTCATAGGTGTACCCAATGGTAAGATTTCAGGTTCAGGTTGTAAACGGGTACATAATGAAACTGACCAGAACTCTATTGAGTGGCAAAGCGAAAGGATATATCAGTGAAAGTCTTCTATATATGCAAAGAAACTTCTACAATCTTGTTCTTCCGAGTATAATAATCGCGAAGTGTCTATAGCGTTCTGCAATATGGATTCAACACATCTCTACTTCTTCTGGTCTTACATAAGACTATAGCATTTTTTCCAACCCCCTGAATCTAAATTTTATTGTCATTTCATCACCTTCGCACATCGATTAAAGGTTTGATTCCACGAACAAAGAGTCTGAAATTAGAAAATCATCAGAACCGCACTGTAGGATGATTTTCTGTCTACAAGAACGAAAACTATGCAACTTCATATGGAGAAAGCAATCGGCCATTGTTATTATAAGCAGGAGAGTTTTAAGTCAGTTAATGTTGCTAAGAGCTTTCATAAGAATCTGACAATATCTACCTGCAAACCGAGCTAATGACTTCATCAAACAACAAGCTGATACAATCAGTTTTAGAGACGTTGAATAGTCATTTAGCAGAAGGATTTGCCTGTTTTCTGTTCAGAAACCAGCTAAAACCCTAAGATAACAAGCTATTTTCCCCAAATTCCACAGCACCTTCGTCTATCGATTTTGAAAATATCAGGGAATCTAATATCAACTCAAATGTCAAACACAAATCAATTCCGAGAAAACGAAACTCACATGGAAAAACTCAAGCTGGTCTTCGAGGTTCTCCAAAGCGGTTCGAATTGCGTTCAGGCTCTTGGCCTCTTGAATCGTGGAGTCGTTATCGTCGACGGCGAATCCCTTGATGAAGACATAACCCGGTCGCTTTTCTTCGCCGGAATTCCCTTGACTCTTCCTCTTCTCCGATCTAGCTGTTGGTTTAACGGATTTGAGGAAGTGAGACCGCGAAATCAAGTGAATCTCGTCGCTGAGCTTGTCGTGTAGATCCCAGATTTTCTCAAGAACAGCTTCGATTTCTTCGATCTCCATTTCTCCCATTTCATGACCAAATAAAGTGACGAGCAAAAAAGAGGGAAAAGTAATAAAAAGGAAAAAAAAATAACTTCGTCTTCTTCCTGAAAATTCCCACTTTAATTGTGGACTGAAAATTAGCGCTCCGTTGAATTTGATTTCGGAAACGGGTTGAAATCCACCCGACCCGGAAACGCGAAACAAACAAATTTGGCACGGACTATGCACGTGTTAATTATTTGGGCTCTAGTGGCCCCAAAAATATCTTTCATGGCTTGTGTCTTTTCCCGTTGGTCTCAGACTCTCAGTCTCAGCAATGCATCGAAAGGTCACTCTCCAGTCTCCAATAAACATCCTCGTATGGCCACGTGGACTGTTAAAAGCCAACGTGTCGAGTTAAATAGCAACGTAACGGAACGGTATCATTGTTTTTATAACCGTTTTCTTATAAAATCTACAAGAATGCAAAAAAAAAAAGAAGAGAAACCAAAAGAAGATCGAAGAACTTTAAAACGATGCGTTCTTCAAAGGATGGTGCAACTATCTCCAACGTCTCTGTGGAAGAGCACTTTAGCGTCTCTCAGTCTACTTCTAGTGGACAGGTAATATATATATATATATATATATAGTAGACAGGTAATATATATATTCAACAAAAAGAAAAAAAAAATATAGGTTATTAAATGTTTGTTTTGTATTTTGTATTTTCTACGTCTAGTGTGTAGTAGTTTTAAAGGTCTGTTTTCGTAAATAAATGGTATGTTTTATGTCGTGTGTATTTTGCTAAGAAAACAAAATTCGAGAGCCACGAATTTTTTGCTAAATGAAAACATGTCGTTTGTGTTTGATGTATTCATTTTCTTGAAAATATTTTATAAAAGTGATATTACTATTTTTGAACAATGATACAACTAATGAAACTTTTGTTTCTCGCGTACGTGTAATCGCAAACGCATATTTCATATTTTGTATCATGATATACGAAAAGTTTGTAGGCTCTACAGAGCAATTTTCCACGGCAGCTGAAGCACTTGTAGGAAGATCGACGACCTTAACGGAGGCTCTAAAAGCAGCGGCTATAAATGTTGGCCACAAACCGGTGGAAACAACCGACGTGGCTGCGATAAAAGAGGTGGAAACAAGGGCTACCGGAGGCGAAGGCGGTGGTGGTGTAACGACGGTGGCGAAGGCGGCGGTTGCTCGAAACGAGAGAACAGAGAAGAAAGATGAGAAGACGAAACTCCGAGACGTCATGGCGGAGATTGATGTAAAGGTAACGAGAGACAGGGCAGTGACAAGGGAAGACGCAGAAGCAGCTGTTCAGGCTGAGCTTAATCACTCTCCTTTCAAGCATATTATCCCTGGAGGTGTTGCTGAATCCGTATCTGCAGCTTATAAACTCAATCGCAGTCCTTCTATGAGTTCCCTCTGAACAGGTTTGTATATATTGCTTTTTCTTTTGCCTCTCCTCAAGCTGTTTGGAAGTTGACGTTACGGTCCGAAAAGAATATAAATAATGTATGATGCGAAAACTGTAGTAAGTTTATAAGAAAATTAGTTAGATAAAGAATTGAGATAATTAATATCAATTGTTATTATGCTGATGAGCGGTGAGATATGCGTGAAAAAAATGCATGTAATAAGTGCATTTCTGTTCTCACTTAGGGGTGTCTTTGATGAAATATTTTGATTGAATTGAGTTTGTTAGTATGTTTTTTTTATTTTGATGATTTTAGGTGAATTTTAAGGAGGATGTTGGAATTTGTTTTAAAACTCTTTGATGGTGAAGCTTCTTGGAGGTTTTGTGTCTCATATGTTCTCTGTTTTTGGAAGAGCTAATAAGAGCTAGTAAGAGCATTTCCATTGAGGTATGTTAAAGGTTTCAGGAAACAAAAAATATGCAAAATATATATTAAAAAATGGAAATTAAGCTCAAATGTTGCGAGACCGCTTCTTAAGGATAAACCCGAAGGTTGGGGTTCACTGCCACATATCCTCTTTAAATTAGACGGAAAAAAAATGAGTTTTTCTTATTGGTTTTTTAATAAAAAAAATTAATTAAAAAAAATTTATGAACCCCAAAAAAAAGTTTATTGAATGAGATGGTCTAAAGCCCTTTATGTTAGCATTATTCCATTCAATGTTATATCTCAGATGAGTTTGGAAGAGCCTTGATCAGACGAGGGGGTGGTCTATGATCAATAGCATTGAAGACATATATATCATGAGTGTTAGCGTTGTTCTCCTCGAGTTTCCAGTGAACGAGCTTCTGATATTTAGTAAGTTTTATGCACTCAATTGTTATCCAATAGTCTTTATGTTGATTTCCTTTTGCTCCTTGGCTTTTCAAGATCGTCATCGCTTATCTTAGATACCGTGAGTTGACAAGTTTACAGTTATGTTGGACTGAATTTCGTTTGGATTTTTGGTTCAATGTTTTTATTCTTTTTTTTTTTTTTCATGAAACTAATCTCATAGATTATACTTTTTGTAAAACCAATTATTTGTAATGAATGTTTACAATTTAACAAATAAATTCACGTAAAAAAATTAGTTCTTTGAGAAAAATCTCTAAAACATGAATAAAATCATTATAAACAACGCCGATTTGAGTGTTGATTCGATACACGCATTGGAAGCCTGGTAACCGTTGCCAACTTAGCGACAGACTAGCAAGGTGGAGAAGCTCTCTCACAGCGACTTTAGCAAGGTGAAGAACAAATTAAGACTCTAGAACGACGTATTTAAACTAAACAGAAGATGTAAATCTAATGGCATTATAATATGCGCTGCATTCTTTCAAGCATTGCCTAATTCTATGCCTTAGTTTGTTTCATCAACGGAATAAGAAAGAGCCGTATACCAAATGCATAATAGAAACAGCACGTAGCCGAGGCGAGCACAAAGAGTATAACGATTCCTTTTTTTTTTTTTTTAGTTAATCATTACATTATTCAACAAAAAAAAGATGAATAATAATTATAATTACGCTGTTTCATTAAACAAGAAGAAAGAAATTACAAGAATAATCCAACCAACAAAAACAGAACAGAGCATGATGATGTCCAAAACCTAACTCCCTTTTAATTTTCTACAAATCTCACGTCACAGGTAAAACAAAAAACCACAAACACTAGAAAACAAAACCATTGTGGAGGAAGAACAAATTGAAGGATCCATCAGTTTAATGAATGAAATAAGTCAACGCCAAAGCCACCATCATTAGAACATACGCTATCCCCTGATCTATCGATGTTCCTGCCAAAAAGAAACCAAAAATCAAAACAATATCAATAATCACATTCTTTTAAAATGATTCTTTAGATCCAAAATGAAATTTTTCTTCTTTTAATTTCGTATTAATCGAAGATTATATATTATTATAAATCAAACCGTCGCTGGTGGGTGCGGGAGCTGGCGAAGACGATTGCGCATGAGCAATCGGCAAGAGAATCACGGAGATGATGATGAAGACGGCGAGAATCTCCGACGGAAATTTCAGGGACGCCATTCTTTCTCTTTATCTCCGGTGATTATTCCGGCGAGGGAATATTTTTTTCTTCTTTTTATCTGAAATCTCACCAGAAATCAAGAAAAAAAGACCGATTGATGGAAAAGCAGAGGAAGCTTAAGATTCGCTTAAATAGTTAAAGTCATGCCTCAAGTAATGTAGGGCCCACGCGGCTTGGGACCACATAACGCACAAATCCTCTCTGTCTCAGAATCACTCGTTTGGTTTGGTGCGTTGTCTTTTGCTAATTTGTTTTTAAATTATAAGTAATAATTTTTTAAAAATTAGAGGTTTAACGAGAGAAACGGTTAATTATGTTCTGTTCTTAAGCTGTGTATGAGATGGATAAAATAAAAAGAGAATCTCTCCAGCCTGTTTCTCTCTTACTTTCCTGGTTTTGCAATTTTCCGTTTCAAGATCGGTCCCTTGTAATAACCCGGTTTAGAGATAAACCGAATCAAACATTCCTTCATCAATAAAGATTCGCATCTAATCCAGACAATCTTATTCCATTTACACCCTAAAAGCAATTTCAACTCCTAATTCCATTGTATCTAAGAAAACCAAGATTCCTTTCGTCCAATACTTTGGTTAATCTCTGGTTTTCTTCTTAAACCGTCCTAATATTTACAGCCTCCCCTAACAAAAACCGTTCTCATGATAAACTAGTAGCTGTTGACTTATGCCACATAACTTATGGTCATAACGAACATGTCCACCATGAGGTTTATTACCAAAGTCATGGAGATGGAGGAGCAGCGAAGAACGGATCTTCTCTGTTGTTATAGATCCCGAAGAGCTGTTTCGAGTACCGGCCTGCTAAATGTTCGCAAATCTCAACCGCTCCAGGCTCGAAACTTCTCAATTCCTCCACCGATTTCTTCAAATCACCAACGGGATCTCCATCCGTCAAGAAATGTCCAATGCGACAGCCCCTAAAACCATCATTCAAAAACGTAAATCAAGAACACAAACAGGTCAAAAAGAGGGTTTGTTTAAAGTTACTGTAGTTCCTTGTACCTTTCCGCATCAAACTTGCTGAAACCTCGACCATTAGCGACATAACTTGATCTTGCTGCTTTTTCTTCTTCTGTTTGAAGCCTGTACAGAGCACAAACCGCTCTCATACAAAGCTCGGGATCTTTACCGAAATCTGCCTGCATATCTGTCAGATACTCCCATTTCCGTTTCCCGGGCTTCTTGTCCCTCCTTAACCTCGACATGATCTCCGCATAACCAGTTTCTCCATCAGATACCTCCTCCCGTACATCGCCCTCGGTTTCATCAGTCTTTTCACTTGCACTCTCATCATCAACAATAAACCCATTTAAGCTCTCACTCTCTAGCTCAGACTCTTCTTCTGTCTCATCATCCTCTGCGTTACCGGTCGTTGGGATTCCCACAAGTCTCTCTCTTAGATTTCTTTCACTTGAAGTAGAGATCTCTTCAAGAACTCTCTTTTTTCTCAGCCTTGACGACACTCGACGCTGTGACCTCAACCCCCCGGACTCATTCTCTTCTATGCTCGGTGTATCAACCAAATCTGACATCTCTTCGTTTGGTGGTTTCAGATTCTTGAGTATTGAAATCGGTATGTTGTCTTCATCATCATCATCGTCATTCTCTGAATCGCTGGTAACAACCCGTTTCCTCTTACGAGGAGTGCTTGTGTTAACTTCACAAGCTTCCACATCGTCATCTTCATAGTTCTCACCAATACTTCTCTCCTCTAACGCATCCATACCATCAGATTCCTTCTTGTTTCTCTCCTCTGTTTCGTTATCAGATAAATCATCTACATTAGTCGATTTGCTACCATCGTCTTCAAACACCAACATCTTACTTACTCGTCTACGAGAAGACAGGTCATCTCTGTTTCTCCCTGACATACAGTCTTTAACCGGTGTGGTAATATCAGGTGAACCTACATGTAAAGAAAGAAACAAAAACCACAAAAAACATAATTAAACACATTACACCAAAAAAAGCAAAGCACAAGCATTTCAAGTTCTACTCACTAATGTAACATATATTCTTCTCACCTGAAATTTGATGATTATACGCTTCACAAGATTCTGTTTTCTTTCCTATTGGGAGCTTGACACTAGCTAACTCCAATCCTAGCTTCACATTCTCATCTAATACCAATTCTCCATCTCTAAATGCACCAATTTCATCTAACTTTCGAACCGCTTCCGCGAGTTTCTCAAATTTGTTCTCAGCCAACTGTTTCTCAACCTCCAATGCTCCGTTCACCATCATCTGCTCAAATAAATCAGATTCTTTTAGATTCCTCAACTCTTCTTCCATTACTAGCTTCTCCGATTCCAATTCCTTAAACCTCAATTCAAGTGACTCAAACTCCTTGTTACGATTCTGCAACTTCGATTCTATATCAGTGTAACTCTCCTTAGCTTTCAAGACCCTTTCTTATAACTCAAGACAGCAACAGTTTCGCATCTCCTTCATCACCATTGTCTCATCATCTTCCATCGAATTCCTCTTCTCAAAACAATGATTTCAAACCCTAGCTAGAATCAAACAAGTCTCCGTAACACGAAAAAACCATACATAGATAGAGAACTCAAAACGTACCTCGAAAATTTTCGCTTCTAGATTCAGAAGAAACCGGGAAAAATCACGAATTCATCGCAGTTTTGGAGAGGAGAATTAGACTTAAATCGGAGAAGAAACAAAACTTTCTAATTTCCTCTGTGGAAACGGACAACTGTTCACAAACCCTAGTAAACGCAACAGGCGGGCCACGTGTACTGTCAGTGATCTACACGGGTGTTTAGATTTGCCACGTGTGATGATTGAGATTCCGCACTACACGCCGTTTTGAGCAAGATCAACTGTCACGCATTTCTCCTTTGTTGATAAGAAAAAAACGTCTAAGTGGGCTTAGTTATGGGCTCAAAGTATGAGCTAATTTATTTTCGGCCCATTGTTTAGTCAGGTGGGCGTTGGATTCTTTATGTAAATATTGACTGGAAACCTCTGGATCGTACGGAGAGTTTAAATGAAAACAAGACAAGTGAGTCACTGTAAAGGTCCACAATTTTAAGTTTCAAGCAGACATTCCTGAAGCTTTCTACAAGATTATGCTCTTCGAATTCACTTATTTTCGCTCTTGTCTCTTCAAAGTTGAAAAAGTTGATTGGTTTTTTACCCTTCAGTTAATTCCAAGATAGTGTCTGTTTATAATCTGACAAGACTAATGATTTTGTTACCTCTTTTGCACCAGTGGAGATAAAAATTTACAGAAACTTTTACTTGTTTTAGTAACTGGGCAAGTCAGGCCACTTTAATTTCTCGATTTTGCGACATTTGAAATTCTACAGTGGATCCGTTTTGTCATCATAAAGCAAGCAAGTGCGATTTCTATGAAACTATCTGCGAAAAAACGGTGAGAAACAGACGTTTTTGACTGTTTTCCATAAAACCATTGAAAATCTTTCGTCAAAAATTGTTTATGGTCAAAAAATTGTGAGATATTATTGACCAAAAAATTCTTCAGTAAAACGATCAAAAATAACTGTTGTAAATTTCTCTAAAACATTTTGAAATTATAGAAAGGTAATACGTAAAATATTTCTAATCATAGTCTTAAGAGATATATTTTTTCAGTTCATCGGTTCAATAACTTTGAATTTCAAGAGATATGTACAAATTATAATTAATTACACCAGAATGTAGAAAAATATTATAATTCATGATTGAATACCAAGAGAATTTTCATGTTAACACAAATCATTCCAAATTTTCGATTGAATACACTTCAAAGATTTTTTTTCCTTCTTCATGTCTTTTTATGGGGTATAAAATATAAATTATTTTGAAATAATTAAGGGAATTTTAGAAAACAAGGCCGGAGCTTAGACCCTTGACTTTCACTCTTTCAGAACAAAATTGACTTATTTACTCACTACAATAAGATAGAGTGCTTCGGTCTATAAATAACTTGGAGTCAGACTAATTAAACAACCTCTACTAGAGATACGAATTTTACAAATAACTAACATATATTTGGCTAGTTTATACATGAACCAGATTTACAAACCAAGTTTAAGGTTTTTGCTTACATTGATTCGTCGAGTGGTAGAGTAGAACAAACAAACGAAAAACAAGTTGAAAAAGATGCATGCACTACATCACAAAAAGGTGCATAACCATAACCACTCATTATGGTTTTATTAGAAGATGGGGACATGGCATTCACTTGTGGGCTCTTCAAATCTAATTTGCAATCAAAAGTATTATGGGTCCCCACATTTGTGGGAAGCCATTTCTTCTCCAAAATCTAGCCGTCATTATTATTTCAGCCAGGTTATTTAATACTAATAAAACAATATTTAAAAGTAATGATCATCACTGCTTTAACAAAGTATCCATTGACGAATAAAAGAGCATTATATCTTGCTTTTAACAAAAAAAAAAAGAGCATTAAATCTTGCTCTTTAAGGTCTTGGTCACACAAATTCGTAGCATTCATCAAATTGTTTTTATGGACTGTCTCAAGTCATTAATGTGTCTTACAAATTTAAACATTGGTAGATTTTAATGTAAGATCATTACTAGTGGTTGAAAAGCAACTGTGAGACTCCAAGGAAAATCTCTTGTTAATTTGATCTCATATAAACATGCATGGCATTTTGTATCATGCACTAACATGATTATTTTGTTCGTTGCAACGTTAATGAATCTTGAGATAATTAAAAAAAAGAAAAAAAATTATGATTGTACTTATTTTTTTGGCAAATTGCGTTTCAGATTGACCAAAGTTCACACGAATTTATTTGCAAACATGTAGTTTAAAGAGAATATGATAATAAATAGAAGAAAATCCCATAAGAGCATTTGCTATATTGGTCATTTTTATGGATTTGAAGTTTTGACTTTCCTCTATACTTTATGTTGTTTTCAATTATATTGAAAACTCTCTAAACCTCTCCCTATTACTTTTCTGAAACTCATTATATTCTAAAATAAGTTTTTTTTTTAAAGTACTTTATTTCTCCTTTGATCTTCCGATCTTTAAAAAGTACTATACTCTAAAATAAGTTTTAACATGTTTAAAAAGAAATAGATCATTTTCTATTACTGTAAATCGATAAAGAAAACAAAACTGAGCTCATTTAGGAAACCCATTCGTATTACAAAACATAATCATTACCTACGATATTTGTCTTTCATAGATGATAAAACTCATAATATGTAATCATGCAATATGGCACATTGAAATAAGAGAGAGGAGAGATAGAGAGAGAGAGAGCGAAGCGAGCAATAAAGCGTTGCTCATGTATTTCGTGGTGAGAGTAAATGATATTGCAGATCTTCGTAGTGATTAAAGTTTGAGTAGGTCCCATCTCATTCACCTCTTCAGCTACTTCTACATTTTTGGTTCTACTAGAATCGATTTTATTTTTTTACCCAAAAGAACATATATATTGAAATAAAATTATGATCATTCGAAAGCCTTCGATTCTGCTTCTAGTACAAAACCTTTGCCAATTTATGTGTATATTCACATTTTACCGTTGGTATGTAGTAACAGAGAGAGATGCATACATAGTTTTATACAACACCACATAGTCCTATCCTAGTGACTGCCGAATTACAGAGACGAGAGACGTGTGGGGATGTGATACGTAGGTAGGATGCAGACAGAAATTAAGGAAATTAAATTTTTGTCATGCAAATGTAATAAAGGCACATAGAAAGAGACAAATATGTAATAATATTAATTTTCATAAGAAGTTTGAATTTTAAATGTATCAAAGTAAAAGAAGGTAATGGTTGACTTCGAATCCAAGCTTATATCTTCTTAAACTTCAAAGTTTCTGTTCTTTTCTCGATAAAAATTTACACTTATATGTGCGTATCTGTAGATCATTATATATACTGTTATTCATTTGCTTATCTTTCTAGGGTTCTTCATTATTATTAATTATTTATCTCTTAAGAATCTCAACACGCGAGACCTTGATGAATCTCAAAGAACCATTTAATGCTCGATCGGAGCTAGAGTTTTAGAGCTGATTTTAGTTCAAAGCTACAAACTTAGGGTTTTGCTTTTTTTCCGTGTCTGAATCGAGCGTAGGATGTAGGTCTAGCATTTAGCTATTTAGGGCATAGTGTGTTTTGGTCCCCATTGCGACTCTTACTGTCAAAATTCACAACTACGTGAGTCGTCCCCATACACACATGCAAGCTCGTATACGCGTTTTACTATAACCACTACGTAATGTTTTTTTTTTTCCTTAAGAGAAAGAACACTACGTAATGTTTATATGTATGTGTGCATTAGAGAGTAGTCAGAGTACCTAATGCATATATGTGTTATTTGATGCGTGCTGTTTATAATCTAGACGAGATTAATTCAACTAATAATAAGTATGTCATTTGAGTGATACTAGATCTTGATTCTAGTCTACAATTTGAGAAGAAAAATCGACGTTTTCACATATATTTTTAAAATTTTGAACTTGGTTTTATCTAGAAAGATCGACTACATGCCAAATACCTTAAAATCATACTTAACAAAGGGAAGTTAAGAAATTTTGTTTTTGTGAATCGGGATGAAGTTTATAAATTTTGCCAGAAAAAAGAAACTAATCTCATATTTTGTATCTAATAAATGAATTCTGAAATGACTAAGTAAACACAATAACCAACATCTCTAGATCACATTTTAATTCCGTTTTTCATTACCATTTAAGATTTGGAACACAAGAGATCAAGAATCACATAAAATTAAAAAAAAAAAAAGAGAATCACATAAAATCAAGATGAATGGAATATAAAGATACCTTAGAAGATTTTTTAAAAATATTTCTCCAATAATTGTTTTGCAGTTTCGTAGATGAACATTGTTCATGCATTGACGTTTGTTCTTTTTTTTTTTCGTCTTTTTCAGCAGAATGGATAAAAATTTGTTCTACAATATTTTATTATAAACAGTAAAATCTCCCGTAATTCTATAATTCGGTTTTAAAACGTTATGTTTTGATAACTGAATGCAAGTAGATCAAGTTTCTGATTGTGATCTACGTAGGAAAAAATTAAACATTTAAAACTCTTCATCGCAACGGTTGCAAAAAGATTCATGTGTCAAAAACTCTATAAGAAAAGGTATCAGCCACAAGGTTAACTCCATTTGAAAAAAAAAAAAGGAAATGGAACTATAAATATTCTATTTTGTCCAAAAATAACATATGATTTTCGTTTTAATCAATGTTCATCATATTCGTTTAAGAAAATATACCGTCTTACTCTTACAAATGAGAGTCCAAAACTAAAAGATCCAAGATAATCCAATCTGTAAGACTGTAGTATATGCTATTAAAAATAAGTTTGAAAGTATGTTTGGTTTACTATACACGGTTTACAAAATCAAAACCAAACTGCAACAAGATCATGCATGATCATCAATGCAATAAGGATATATATGGTGCATATATATGTATATATATGTGTAACATGGATGCATGTATGCATGTGGATGAATGAAGAAGTAGAATCTCGGGCACGGAGACGGCGTGTTCGATCATTGAAAGCCGCCCACCATCTTTATTATATATGGTTCCCAAAGTACTAATTTCTGCTCAACTTGCAGATGCTTTGTTCCATCAGCTAACTATCTTTGCTCTCTTCCTCATTCTCAATTTTTATGATTAATTGCTTCGAAAGTCAATTATTATTTTTAAAAGGGCAATA